AAAACAATTGAAGAAGAGATCGATCAGCTTTTGTGTTGATAAAAACTGACAAATCGCGTTCTGTTTGTCATAGTGTTTTTTTAATGCTGCGAATAATTAGAAGGTAAAACTGGAGCCTCTGGCGCAGAATAAACACAAAAACAAGCACCAGAACTTTAATACAGTTCTCTCACTAAAGAACATTCACATTTTACTGCTGAGTTTTATTTCTTTAGAGGTAATTTGAATTCTGCCTCCGCCTTCCTTGAAATGAAGATTCACTTTGGCACCAGCGTGAAGGAAATCGTATTCAAAGTACAAGGTAGGTTCAAGAGAAAGCGCCTTGGAAATATGTAGAAGCAAAATAATGTTACGTACTATGAAGTAGTACTGGCCAGCAAGGTTTTTGGATTCAACCCTACTTGACTCTCTTGTGCGGTTACGTGAAACAAAAAATTTAATAACATTTCATTTCCGTATTGTTGATTATTTGGAAACGTTTTATCAGAAATTCCATTGAAAATGAACCAAGAAGACTGAAAGGTATTGGAAGGTACACAGAAATACAGTTTCAAGTTTTTTTGAAGTTTCATCTATTTCAAATCACGTGAAATCTATTTTTTATCAATTTTTTATCTCGATCGAAGCAAAAACTGATGGTTCATTTCGAATAAAGCTATAAATAAATAAAAATTTCATATGATGGGGACTGATCACACTATGATTGCTCATATTTATGCACCACCATAATTCAGCTTATTTGATTCAACATGCAGTTCAATAAAGTGTTTGTGGCCTAATACAAAGTGCATTTCGTTAATGCCCCCCCCTTTTATTTTTTTAATGAAATTAATGCATAAACACTTTATTTTAAAGTGAAATTGACAGATGAAACTTTCAAAATGGCGACTGGGCGCCATCGGGGAAAAAACATTTAAAGGAAAGGGGGTCTTGTGACACATCTCTTTGAAGCTCCTGACAAATGCTTCATAACTCTAGAATATAATGACAATATCTTCAACTACTACAAAATGGCGGAACTTTCAATAATTACCTAAATACTACATAAAATGAGGTAATGAGCTTGACGTCAGTTTAGAAGATGCTCGAAATGGTTGCCTTGAACTTCTTGACATATGAACAACCTATCCGATATTTCACGCCGAACATTTTCGAACACAGTAACGTCAATATATCTACAAATATTTATTATTCTCTGTTACTCCTTTCGTGCCCTTTAATCCACCTCAGGATAGAATCCAATATATTGCTTTGCTAACGACAGCACACTTCACAGCACCAGGTTCAATTCAATGCCACAAAAACCCAGTAATCAGTTTTCTCCAAGAAGATAAGTTTCTTCGAACCGGATATAATAATGTCAGGTCAGACCATTCCGCTTTCTGCTTCGATAAGTTTCTTGAGGGTTAAAATGGACACCAATATGTCTTAGCATAATCATATCGCTGGAACTGCAAAGGCTGCTTCTCAAAAGCTTGGAACACGGTTCAGAACCAGAAGTTGCTAGATTTCATCCAGAAAAGAGCCATCCGCCTGATTAGAGACGCGAACATCACGTGCAACCTTGATAACCTGGAACATCGAAGAAAGGTTGGAGATTTGTCTCTCTTCTGTAGATACTTTCACGGGAAGTGTTCAAGTGAGTTGGCACATTTGATTCCACCAAGAGCGGTGCATATCAAAAATACGCGACTGACTGTTTAAGAACTCTTTTGTTGGAGAATGTATGTGAAATAAACTTCCTGAGAAGGTTTTTTCAAATGAATTTAATCTCCAGCGATTCAAATCCAACGTAAATCGCTACTTTCGTACAGGCGCCACCCTTAAGGATATCCTGAATAAACACATTTTATTTCTGACCGGGATATTATAAGCTTATATCGTCATAGTTACGCTATCAATAAAGAGGGTCAAAGGTTGAGTCTTGTTTGAAGATCATCAGTGTTATTATTGAATTGACTGGTGCCTCAGCTATACTTGTTTCCCTATNTGCTTGTTCAGCTTTTTTCAAAATATCCTCCATTATATTTGGGGTAGAAAACACGTTTTCACCGCAAACACAGCTTGATAACAAAGTTCTGTTTATAAACAAGTAACATAGCAACAACCTAGCAACAAGAAAACTCTACTATAATCAACGGTACCTGATTCAAATATACCGGGAAGGTAATGAATTGGTACATTTTTCCGTTTCAAAAATGAACAAAATTTTATTGAAATCGGTCAGAAATAAAATTATCTATGTACCACGGGAATTAATGAGCCTTAATAACCTCAGGCAATTGCTGTCCCTCGGGCCAGAGGCCCTCGGGACGCAAACTTTGCCATCGGTAATTAAGGCCCTCCTAATTCCCTTGATACATAAATAACTATTTTGTACTTACATTGCAAACGCTGGCTGAACGCTACGAGATAATTAAAAAATGTACCTACTACAGTATTGTACATCTTCAAAAGATCTACAAAAAAGTTCGCGATGGTATATGTCTATCTCTTAGGGATAACCCACAATAACCATTTTTTTATCCTCGAGAAATAATGGCTTATTTACGAAGTGATTTCAAGCAATATAGCTTTAATCCTTATCCAATTAAATACCTTAAATACATTGTGTATTCAATATAGATCAAAATGGTCCTTTACAGCATGTAGTTTATATAAATATTTTCGAAGATATTACAGATTTGAAATGCAGGGACATAGCGGTTGCGGCGGTACCGGCCCTGGGACCGGCTTTGCGTGCGTATATTTAGTATCAGCCGGGGCTAGTATCATGATAATTGAATTTATGACCTGCAGAGGCAACATGAATAGAACATTAAGAAATACATTGTTATCTTTTGAGTTTTCATTTCAATTTATATTATTTTTCATTAAACATTGGTTTCAACCTTGTTTTATCAGCAAATTTCCATAATCAAACGGCTTAATTATTCACCTAAATATTAAATTCACTATTAATATTCCATGACAATCAAAATGTTTCATTCAGGTTAATAAATGAATGTTATTTGTTCAATCCCCATGATTGACTCATATGTTCGAAAGTATCTTAACTTTCTCTAAGATTTTTGAAGGTTACACTCACAGCTGGTTGACCATCGCCAAACAACCTGTCTATAGAAGGCAGAACTGGATCATATGTTTTTTCAACAAGTGATAGTTCAATTTTTATTCAATCAACAGGTGATCAGAAACATACTGGGAAGAGAGTGACGTATTGATTTTTGCGCTTAGTACTTAAGATCGGGCCGTTCAGATTGCATAAGTTATTTCTACGTTTGTTTGAAGGTGATTGACAATGTTTCGTGATGAATTTCACTAGTTCGGACTTCCATTGTCTATTATATAAAATGATTTGAAATCCCTGAAACAAGTAAAAAAGAATAATTAAAAAAGAATAG